TGCAGTTCTGGTCCATGACTGGGGCTGGTAGGCACTATTCAAATACTACTACTAATACAGTAACTCCCCACTTAACGTCCTCCCGCTTAACGTTGTTTCAAAGTTACATCGCTGCTCCATTATCATAGACTCATAGACTATCCGGGTTGGAAGGGACCACAGGAGGTCCAAAGTACCATTAGGGAACATGCTAGTTTAAAGTTGTACAATGCTCCCTTATAACGTCATTTGGCTGCCTGCTCTGTCCACTGCTTGTAAGATTTTGTGGAAGAGCAGCGACTTTACAAGGGAGCATTGTACAAGTTCCTCTTCTCTGCCTCCTCCCCCTCCCTCCCAGCGCTTCCCCCACTGCCAAACAGCTGTTTGGCAGCGCTTAGGACTTTTTGGGAGGGGGGGAGAAGGAGCGAGGATGTGGCATGCTCCGGAGAGGAGTTGGAGTGGGAAGAGGTGAGCCCGGAGTGGAGCGGGGATGGGAAGAGGCGGGCCTGGAGCATCCCCCGGCAAAGTCTGCGCCTATTCTTCTCCAGATAAGCTGCCACTGCTGCTGTGAAGGTGCTTCTTAGCATCCTTGCCTGCAACGGGCTGTGCCTGTGTGGGGTAAGCCGGGGCACTTCCCAACCACAGTACAGTACTGTACAGTATATAATGCCTTTTATCTGCCCCAGAAAACTTTCCTTGGAACCTAACCCTCCGCATTTACATTAAATCTTATGGGAAAATTGAATTAGTTTAACATTGTTTCACTTTAAGTTGCATTTTCCAGGAACATAACTACAACGTGAAGTGAGGAGTTACTGTACTAATAGTTAAATCACAGAAAGCCATATCTGTCCATTTGAATTTCTGGTGTCCTTATTCTTTACACTCTTTGGGCCCTTCCCAATCTAGGAACCAGATTCAGCATCAGTGTAACTTTTTTAAAGTTAACAGCATTGACAACATGCTTCTTGCTAGTATAATTGTAGCTCAATTTCCATGAGTCATTTAATGAGGGTGAAGATTTAAAAAAACAAAAGCAAAGCTCACAGCTGTATTACTTTTTAAATTATCTGATTAGTCTGTGGTGAAAAACTTATTATGGTCACAAGAATTAAGCACACGGAAATCAGTGGGAACGGCTGGATCTGCAGCTGTTCTGCAAATCAGGTGACTTCTTAGTGTGCCTAAATCTTGACTTAGGAGCCTAACGAGGCACTCAGTTTTGAAAACCTGAGCCCAAGTTCACAATTTTGGCTTGGTGTGATACTGTCAGCTTCAGGCAGTAACAGATATTTAACCACAAAATAATCAGATCACAACAACAGTACAAATGTTTACTTTAAAAAAAAAAAGTCCTCATCTCTGTTAGACATGATAGCAAGAAGTATGCTGGTCAAGCCCAATTTTTACAGGATCATGCAATGGTAACCTTTTTTTTTTTTTTTGGCATCCATGCATGTACAATTATAGTTTCTAGCACGGTCCAAGATGTAGTGTCAAATTCATCCTTCAGGCAACTACCTAGCTCTGTAGGTCTGCTTGATGATCAGCACATATGAAAATCAGACCACGTATTCAGGATCTGAAATAAAGATTTAGGAGCTGAAAATTAGGCACACCTTTTAAAAAAGAAATAATCATATTGGTTGCAAAGAAGTTAGGTGCCTGAAAATAGAGATTTAGGAACCTAACTTTAGGTGCACAGGCTCAGATTCTCCAAGGTATTTAGATGCTTAATGGCTATTGATTTCCATGGGAGACAGGCGTCTAAACACCTGTGAAGGTCTGGGCAACAGCACCTTATTTTTCAGAGATGCTGAGCACCTGCAGCACTCACTGACTTCCACCGGAGTTTTGGGTTCTCTGTCTATGTGAAAGTCAGGCTCCCGTGTTTCCAAATTTGACCCAGACCACTTGGGTACAGCGCTCAGTTCAGATTCCCACACTCGCCCCCAAACAGAAAGCAAGAGATCAAAATAAAGAAGCTACCATACATATTCACAAGGATAAGCACTTACAAAATGAATCACGATGCAAAGAAAATCATTAACAATACAGCCACCTGCTGTACTGCAAGAACACTACACCAGTAAAAAAAAAAAAGGGGGGGGGAGAGGAGGGATAATGTATAGAATAAACCAAAATAATTTGCTAGTTTTCAACTATTATGTATTACAAAAGAGGTCAAAACGATCAGCAGATCAAATTAAACGACAATGTAATTGTTATAAGGCTCATCACTTGTCACGATGATTTTGATGTATGGATAAAAACCATATTTACAGGCATAGTCCTCATCACTGTACTATCTGAACATCTCAGAAACACTAATGAATTGACCCTCTCAACACTCTTTAGGTAGAAAAGTATCATCTCTATATTACAGAGGGAGAAACTGAGGCACAGAGAGAGAGGTTAACTTGTACAAGGTCACAGAAGAAAGCTGTGGCAGAGCCAGAAAATTATTAGAGTAGTATTCGTTCAATGTCAATAATGTGCTTGGCGATTTCTCCTACACAAAAATAAAGATATTCTCTATCTCAGAGAGCTTACCATAATAAAGATGGGCACAAACAAAACAGGACACTCCAAAGGTGAGGATAACTTAGGTGATTCTAATTTAAACTTCCCTCCATCTAATTCAATTATTAAAGTCTCTTCTTAATGAGCACTGTGAAATAAGCGGGTTTAAAGAAGGGATTTTGAGAATAGAACCCTTGTCAGCTAACTGCTAGTTCTGAGTCTTAATTATGAAACCACCTTATGTCCCTAAAAGCTTGTGTAGACTAAAGAAATTTGCACCTGGCTAATGTAGATACATAGCACTGGTACAAAACAGTGCTTGAACTGTTGTCATGCACCTAAGCAGGTTGCACGGTCGCAGCTATACCAGTGCAAAAAACAAACAGTAGGAGGAAGCCCTAAATCACTTACAAAAAAAAAATCACTTCCTGTTTATGCTGAGGTGTTTGTCTCCCACTTACTTTGCAGCTTTTAGCTAAGTCCTAAGGATCAGATTAAAAGTAATTTTCTTTGATGTTTTCAACAAGGAGGAAAGATTTTGCAATTTTGGAGTGTCTCTTAGCTGCAGATAGAGAACACTGCTGCTTCTCTGTCCCAATTATAACCTGACTAACCATTTTACCACTAAAATACCTAGTTAATGTGTGCTAATCTTACAAGTTTGAGATTTTTACATGTAGAGTATCAACATATGTTATTTCGGAAGTTAACCATTTCATGGAGCTGTTATTCTCTACACGACAATGGAGGAAGATGGCAATGGGGGTTGCCCAAAGCAATCTTTCTAGGCAGTTTTCACTGAATTTAAAATATTAAGGTGACAGAATCCACATTGGATATTTATCTTTGTGCGTTTTGGAATTGCTTGGACAAGGATCCGCCCTCCCTCCCCACAAAATTGTATGCATCCCTGTTCAGATGCACTGAGGATGGGATGCTTTAGCTGACACCATTTGCTCCCTGAAAATGCAGAGGGCCTTGTCATTTTGAGGCTATCTGCACAGAAGTACTAATGAATGTTATCTGTAATTCCTATAATAGCCACAGTAGAATAGTCTTATTTATAAAACAAATCAAAGCAATTCTTTACTATCAGTGTATATCTCTAAAAGAATGATCAAATGAATAAAATCCATTAAGCACTTACTGGATAGGTTTTCAGTTTTCATTGATCTGACTGTATTCTAGTACTAAGCAGTACTTTTTCACTGCAAATTTCTATTATACATTCTTACAAGGACTTGGTCCAGTCAAGATGTTAGCGCACAACAAGCCAGGGTGTGAATATACAGCTTGCCACATAGTAACATCCCATATGCACACTGCTACATTACGCTAAAAGTTCCATTGTCAGAGTGCACTATGGAACTTGTAGTTCACCGTAGCAGTACCCACACAGGACGTTACTGCATGGCAAGCTGGTGCACTATAGATTCGCACAATGGCTTGCCACGCACTAACATCCTGAGTAGACAAGCCCTAATATTGGGTGATATTCATACCTGTGCAGAGGCCCAGCCCAAGGCATATACACCACTTAAACCCTGAGAACACCAGAATTCAGGGGCTCAAGGGTTAATTTCAGCCTCAATACTCATTTCTAAATTTGCACGTATATAGGGATAGACAGGGTTCATCAACATGAGCTTACAGGAGCAGTCCCAATGATATCAGAGCAATGTGGCCTATTGGATAGAACACAGGACTGGGATTCAAGAGTCTCTGGTTCTATTTCCATCTCTTTCACTGACCTACTGGGTAAACTTGTGAGAGGGAAACTTACCTCTTTGCCTCAGTTTCCCCATCTGGAAACTGGAGACACTAATCCGGACCGCCTTTGCAAAGTACTTTGAGATCTAATGATAAGTGCTATTTAAGAATATATAAGGTGGTAGAATTATTATATTGGACTTACTCGTGTAAGTGGTCATTGGTATGAGTAAGGGTTGCACAATATAGCCCGAGGTAAACGTAAACAGTTCTCCCATATATACTATTTAGCAAATTAATAATGTTTACAAATCAGATTTTTCGTCCATTTCAACTGGTCCAAATGTTTTGAATTCTGAAATTTTGATGAAAAGCTTTGTTGACATTCTGAATTTAGATGAAACTTACTACTTTATTATAAGTTCTTCAGAGGAAGAAGTGTCTCTTACTATGGGTTTGTACTGTTAGTAGTAGAATGAGGCCCAATCTCAGTGAGGGCCTCTAGGAGCTGCTATACATACAAATAAATAAAAATATAGGAAAAAAATTACTAAACTTTTGAAAATTATTCTTCCCATTTTATGACCAGCTCCAGTAAATATCATAGTTTTATACAAAAAAAGTGACATATCTTATTACCTGCAATATTAATAGTTACTGGCAGGGTTGTTGGATCACAGTTTTGCCTATTCTGAGTATTTAACATCCAATTGTCAAGCCCCTAATTTAAAACTAAAGATTTCTGTGGCTGCATTACCTACAAAATGGTTAAAAATGCATATATTTACCTGCCATCATCGCTACCATGCTGGCTTTGTAGACATTGGTAAGTGATCCCAGCTCTCCTGTTCCCAAGATTGTTTTCATATGAGCATCTCCACAGGCCTGACGAAACTGATGGATCTCTTCATAGAGGCCTACAGGAAAGTCATTTTAAAACTATAAAAGCTGGTCAAGAAACATTCTCAAGTATGGTGTTAATTTCCACTTCGGGGTGAATGCAGACAGGTCTAAGAACTAGTTATAAAGCAAAGTGTTAAAGGTTCATTGAATCACATGGCTGTGTAGACAGTTAGCACTGCTATACAGTTTCAAATTCATTTTAATAGCTGTTAACTTCATTTCATTCAAAACCAAGAATATATTCAAATATGTTTGGCATATGAGAACAAGTCAGCAGTATAAACAGGACAAAGACTTAAAAATTTCACTGATTAGCCCTAAATATACCAATAAAACACTATCAATACTTTCTAAAGTCTTTCCTGTATGCTTGTTAATAGCTTTCCTGTATATTCATCATGTCATTTTTCTCCTTCTCACTCCAGCCTTCTGATGCTCTTGGCCTTGCCATCAACTTTCTGGAATGTCTTCTACTTTCTGGAATGTTTTTTTTTTTTTTTTTCAGCCTGTCCCACTCTGTCTCGTCTTCCACTTCTCTTCTACCCCCACATTTCTAATTCTGCCCTTAGATGAGATACAGTTCTCACTGGAGTTGCATACGTGCATCCAAGGGCAGAATTTGGCCCTTACCCTTATCCATAGTTGATAAGATGAACTGGTTAGAATTCAGGAAGGAGCTCTTGTGTGAACCTGTAGCTATTAAACAAACAAACCAAAAACTCTCCTTTTGAATGTGAAAAGATTGTCATAGCCACAGGAATGCCACACACCCCAGTGCACACTCCTCGTAACTTGACAGATTCCTATTTCAGTAAGAATAAATTTGAAAACATTAAGGGATTTCTAATTGATATTTTTTTTAAAAAATGATTAAACCCCTTTGACCTGATCAGATAATGAGGGTTGAGTGTGGGAGCACTGAGAAATCCACCATATTTTGGTGGAGACTGAAGTATTCTAAAACAACAAAGAATGGGAAATAGCCGCTAGATAAATCTAAACATGAATATTAATACACAGTCATGCTTTTCTAGTAAAATATAACTGCAGACGTTTTGAAAAAGGGCAGATACCCCAACATTAGCGACCTGGTGAAATCAAGTATGGAAAGCCCCTTCAGAGGAAACAATGACAGACAGCTTTATATCAGAATCAAGTAGATTCTATAATATAGTGTTCCCATTTTTGGAATTTTAACAAAATAAAGATACAGACAAAAGGATGACCGACCAAACTGGGTCCTTTAAAGGTAACAAATTCAGATTATGAGTAAGATTTGTTAATACATATATGGAAATCAATGTATATTAATAATGATAAAATAAAGTTAAAATATATTTAAATACATCTTTGCTGTGCAATGACCATGATAATTGTGGACACTGCAGAGCAAAGGCATGTTTAGTGATAAACTATCAATGCTCTCTCCACCCCCAAGAGAGTCTCCAAACCATTCGGTGGACTTATCAAACTGCTTCACTGCTGGTCCTCCACTCCACCTGCTGTGCTGATGCATTCCACTGATGTCAGGATGTAGCCGCTATGTTTGATAGTACTGCAGTGTTCCGCTGCGACATATTATGCATATTCGCAGACAACTGGCTAATGCACTTAGTGAGTCCCTTTATAGACACCTGGCTTATCTCACATCTCACTAGGTACCCAAAGTGTGAATTAATCAGTGCTACCATACAGTCGAACATGTATTATTGATAATTGACGATACTCCAGAAGCCTCCTAGATCAAATCAACACTCAGAAAGGAAACACAAAGAACCTGTGTTATTTGCTTGAGTAGAGGATTTGAGAGGAATATGACTGGCTGATGCTCATGTTAGATCATAATACAGTCTCTTTTTGTGGTGTGACTATTTCATGAAGCCTTTAGAAAACCAAGGAAAGCAGCTTTCATGTTCTACTAGTTTCAGTAGCAATAAGAAAAGATTCAAGTTTTCTCTAGTTCTAAGACATGCTGCCAAAAATTTCAAAACAAATTAACAGAATGTAAATTTAGGGTGGATGCCATAAAAGAAAATTATCTTGTTCTCTGAAGGTAGTGCTGTAGTTATAGTATTATCCCCACACTTTTGATATGTGTTTCTCTATGAAATTAGTGCTGGAATGAGTTAACGGCCTCAATAGCCAATGGCATGTGTGGCACCCAATGAAGAGGAATAACTGAAGCTCCTCAGCTATGAATATCTTTTCTGCCACGTTCTTCAAGGTAATGGAGAAAATGCATACGTACTTTTTTTTCCTAACTCTAGCGGTGGGGATACAAGAACTTGTCTGTAATAATTACCATATATTCAGAGAACAATTGTTACAGATAGTATCTCGTTTTTATGTGGTGCCTTTGATCCTAAAATATCCCAACACACTTTGCAGCTTTACAGCACGGGGGGGGGGGCGCGGAGAGGAGAGGAGAGGAAGGTACCCAACTGGCACAAGTCATATTGCTATATAGTAAAGAGAAAGGAAGTTTTGATCACAGATGTTGGGACAAACCCCGAACCCTATAAAAAAGGCTTCAATATTTACACAGAGCAGACAGGAGATCATTTTACAGTTGCATCCAAATGACTTGCACAAGCTTTGTGATACTCAAGTTACATGCTTCTTAAAGAAACAGGGTTGTGTAGCTCATACCCAGACCTAAACCCATGGTTTCCTGGAGTCTGGGCTTTGTACGTGGTAGGGTTTGCTACCAAAAATGTCTGTCTATAGTTCAGCTCCACCAGTCCCATCACTGGGAAAGTGCACACAGGATGCTAGCAGCCACTGGTATTTTAACCACTATGTTGTTCGGATTTCCTGAAGGGGGATAAGTGACAAAGTGGTTAAAATGCCAGTTACTGCCTCATACCGTGTCTACACTAGTGCTCCTTTTGCTACAACTGGTGGCACTGAACCAGTTAGTAGTAATGGTGGAAAAGTTCTTTTTTGTCAAAAATGTCTAGTGTAGAAACAGCCTTCTTGTTTCAGACGTGAAACTTAGACCATTACACTACTCCACAGTCATTGGAAAGGCTATGAGAGCGCCAACTTCTGGCTGCTGTTTAAACAAAAAACAAAAAAACACAAAAAACAAAAACAACCAACCAGCCCTCGTCAATCCAGGGAAGATTGTTAATAGTAACATCTTGATACACAGAGCAATATCTCTATTAAAAGTTGTCACTTTCAACGCAGCAAAGACTCAAAGTATAAACAATCAAAGGGGAGAAAGAGAATCATAGCCTGTCTTTTAGCCTTTAGATCTGGGCCAGATCCTCAGCTGATGTGTAAAGCAGCATAGCCCCATTCACTGTTAATTGGTAGCACTAAAGTCAACAGAACTGTGTCAGTTTACACCAGCTGAGGAGCTGACTGAGGTACAGTCTGTGCTGATCTGGATGCAGAGTGGCATGAGGCAACAACAGCTTTGTTAAAAGACTGAACCCCTCAGTGACCCAACTCAATCTTAAAATTCTCTATGGCCTGCCAAAGAATTTTAGTGGATTTGTGGCCCTCTATTATCTTAAAGTTGCCCAACCCTGTTTTAAGGAATCTCTCCTTTTCTGGTTTGACCTTCACTTGCTCTTTCGTTGGTTGGTTAGTTTTTTTAATCTTCCTTTCCTTTCTCTCCTCATAGTTCTCTCCCCTCTGTTTCCATCCCTCATCCAACCTCTTAAAATGAGAATCGGAAACAGGGTGCTCCACCAAATCCAAGCAAGTTTTGGAAACTGAGCACATAGTGAAGTCATTTTGTGGATGTCACTCTCCAAATACAGGTCTGTCAATAGCCCCGTTAACAATGCAGCTTCCAGTTACCAAAGTCCAGTGGGCCAATGGAGATGGAGGCAAATTTGAAGTGGCCTTCTGAAAAGGTGACAGATCCTTCAATTCCTTAGTGGCATCCAAGGGGGAAGCCTTGCTGGAACCGATACTGGGGAGGGATTTGGTATACAGTACCTCTATAGGGTTCGGTCTACAGAAAGACATTGATGCTTCAATTATAATAGAGCAAATGATGCTCATAACTACCTAGAAGGGATTGGTGGAGATTGAGCAGCATGATCGTGGCATCTCAGCAGGTTTGGGACCATAGTGCCCAATCCCACACACCTTCTGATGTCAATAGAGAAATTCCCATTAACTTCAATGGGCCATGGATCAAGCCCATAATTTTTGACGCATGGACATGGAACACTATACAACAGTATAGGCCATTTCTGCAGCCTATTGCTCTCCCAAACAAAAATGTCACTTGCCTTTCATTCATGATATGCCAGTGGAAAAATCAGATAGTTAAGAACACAATACTTTCTGAAAAGTACTACTGTACTAAATCTGCTCTTTAACAATGTTTTAACGTGCACCATTAGAAAACATGTTAAAAAATTGTTAAAAAGCAGATTTAGACAATTATATTTCAAGTGCAATAAATATATTCAACAATATGTAAGAATAGCTTTAAAATAACTCTCAGTACAATTGTATGTTCACTAAAATACTTAATATAACATTGCCCAGCAACTTTTTAAACAAAGTCACAAAAAACTCTTAGAAAATGCAGTTTTCATCTATCAAGGTGACTCCAATTATCCCAGTGTCTAGGGGGGGAAAGCTGAAAAAATACATAAAAACAGAAAGATCTAGTTTGCAAAATAAAATACAGTATAAACCACACATTTTTGTCAATAACATCTGAAGTTTTGAAGAATCACAGCATGAGAAAACAACCATAAAAATACACTGGGGCTACAAGTATATGCAAAGGTTCTGTCATTATTATAAAGCATATGAGCAAAGCAGTTGTGGTTTATGAAGTCACTGGAACAAAGATGTATTTACTGCCCTCACCACCACTTTTCAATTTTATATAACACATGGGTCCTGCTTGGAAAGACTTCCTTAGCCCTTTCTCTGCCTTCCTCAAATAAACTGTAGAATGCAAAAAGATTTATCGTTTCTAGACATTAGATATAGCCAGAGTTTAGGCTATATTATAAATCATATATATGTCTGTAGAATGTTAATCCTATATACTGAACATCAGCCTTGCAACAAAATTTCCCCTCATCCACTGGAGTTGCTTTCCTTGATGGGCGACTTAAATATCAGGGGTCCCCCCACCCCCCATTAACATCATCCTCAATGTTGTAAAGGTTGGTGAGTAAATTTTGTTCCTTGGATAGTTCTCTTTTCATGACAAATATGAGAGGCTACAGTACACAAGGATGTACATTCCTACATAAATTCTCAGAAATCTATCAGTGATAAACTCAGTGACCCCCTTGTGGAAATAAATCAAAACTATTTATTAAAAAAAAAAAAACTGCTTTCTTCAAGCTTGCCACAACACTTGCTGTGGATAAAAGAAGTGAATGAAATGAAGAAAAGTCAAAATCTGATTTATTTTTAATCTACTCCACCCACCCTGTCACATCTGAGTGCTCCTTCCCAGTTACTTCCGTTTATACGTAACTGTCTGTAACCCCATGCAGAAAAAGCTGATACAGTTCAAGTTAAAACATCCACACCACAGTTGCAGTGGTGCCAGTTCATCCTGTTTTATATGGCAAATCCTGAGACCTGCAACTTCCATTTAACTTCAATAGGAGTTCATTCATTTTAGGGCCAGGAGGGACCATAGCGATCACCTAGTCTGACCTCCTGCATAACACAGGTCACAATTTCAGGCAGTAATTTCTGCGCCATGCCCAGTAACTTGTGACTGAGTGTCAGGTGTTCAGGATCTGTCCCTCTATTATTTCTTCTATGACATCCCTTTTCATAATCATGTACAATATACTTTAAGTTCTATTTTCTGTTGATTGCATGGGGTAACTCAGTGACCCTTGTTCTAAGTAGTCTGTGTCTAGAGCCTGCCCATGCTTTGACCTCTGAAGCATGGTAACTGCAGGCATGTTCAGAAACAGCTATCAAGCACTGTTCTGCACATTAAGCAGAACAGTTCTTGACAACTTTTTCAGGCACCAACTGTCGCTACTCTAGGCCAGACTGGTGCTCTCTTGTGGATAGGGCTCTCTTGAATCAGCTGGGTTAGCTGGATCTGTGCTCAAGACTAGTCCTCGCTCCCATTCCTGGCTATGCAGTGATCATATGCTTTGTAACTCTGACTGTGCACAAAAGTACAGGCATGAGAAAGTGATCGGGATGGATGGAATATCTGAACTGTATGGGAACAGTGTAATTGTCAGATGTCTGTCTGAACACTAAAGAAGAAACAAATACAAATATTGCATTTGTTTATAACATGGCCACCACTGAGCAGCAGTGGCCACTTCAAGTCCGCTGTAGGGGTGCAAACTCTGCTCAAGCAATAATGTGGAGATAGTCACATAGAGGCACCCATTTCATATGTGGTTCTCTCCTTGCCCATACAAATAAAGGGGGTGGGGGAATATTGCAATTTCTCTCAATTTTATCTCAAGTCTTGCAATATTTGATTTTTCCTTAAAGCCCCAGCTCCCAGAGACAAACGATTATACAAGAACTTTAGTTTTCACTTACAAAGTTTATAGCTTTCACGGTTGTGGAAAAACGTTTGTGATCCAAGTGAATCCTAAAAACTCTAAAGCAAGAAGGCAAATCAAAAGAACCTAAATTTTTTATTTGTGGGGGAGGAGGTTGTTTTGTTTTAAATCTCATGATTTTCCATAGTCAGGGTTGGCAATGCTCTCTGTCCAGCTTTTCATAGGCTTAGAGATCCCTGTGTGGGAGAGGTGGAAGGCACTGTGCCTTTTTTTTTTCTCTTTGGCATCCGGATGATCTTAATACAGTCTGAGTTTGTATAGCTCCCTCTGCAATGTGGAACTCCCTTAGGAGGATTGTTGGTGGGTCAGGGAGCCTCTGGCTGTGGCTGAATGGAGTTGAGGAAAGCAAATAAACTCAGAGCAAGTGTGGAGACAAAGGGGCCTGTTGTACAGATGGCTCTGGCCTCCAGTAGCATTTAGAGGATGGGGAAATCTGAGCTGAACCCTTTCTTTGCTCCTTAGGTGGACAGGACAAACCCTGCCTTGATAACAGAACTTTCTATCGGAAACACCGTGAGCGAACTTTTTGAATATCCCCCCCCACTGATCCCATTCAGTGGGTTTCTCCACAGAAGGACACAATCTGCATTTTTAAAAATTAATTTGGTCATAGCCGATAACTAATTAGCTGCTTTTTTTAAATTTTAAACATTTTGATTTTTGCAGCTCTCAAGAATGTTTAATAGTAGAACTATATTAGTTGCCTTATCTAATTATTTGGATCCATATTAGGATCCTACACAAAAAAAACTATTATTCAGAATTTAGTTAGATAGTAAAAAAAAAAAAAGAGCGAATTAATGCTATTGATATTCTGCATAATGTGACCCATTAAAATGTTAAATATGTTTATGAGAAGATTATTTATGAATAGTTCCATTTGTATACACCCTATAAAAAGGGCTAGAAGACTGTGTGCCTCCACCGCTGTCTATATTACTACTTCATATAGCTTAGTTTGTGTCTACACTAAGCAGTTTCTGAACCATGCAGTGAGCACACTGTTCCAACTAGAAGTCTAGCACATCTAATCTTTGTAGTGTGGTCACTCAAAGGATATGTCTACGCTCATAAAATACTTTGTTTTAGAAAATGTGTTAACACACATTTTAACTAGCATGATGCTAAACACAATTTGGAGCCTACTGTAAACGTGCGCTTTTGTGTTTGAAAAAATGTGTTAGCTGATCTTGGGAGGGGGACATATGATTAACCACAAACAACTAATATATTTTTAAAAACCCACACAATGGTACTAGTCTATTCTAGAAGATAAGTCGTGTTTAACTAAGTTAAAATGGTGCTAGTGCATTTTCTAATGTGATACATTTCTACAGTGCAGAAAAGGCCTAAACTGGCTTCTAAAATGGTTTCACTTACCACTGTTCAAATTGTAACAAACTCTTTTCAAGACCAGCATGGACATGGCATAAGTATCTCCCATGTCACTGAATTAGACTAATTTTTGCAACACAAAAATCAACACAACAAATTAGCTTTAAGATGGCATTTGAACGATAATGATTATTTATATCTCCACTTAGGTCCTTAGAACAAATATATTGTGGACAGAAGCTGTTTGAGCTTTCTGCTTACTTCCCAGTTAATATCCTTTAATCTTTTACTGGAGGTATGACCTCTAGTGGAGGAAAAGAGGATCATCTAGTTACTATGGCAATTTCAGTCCTGTTGTGTTTATCATTTGTATTGTGGTAGCATCTGAAAGCCCCAATCATGGACCAGGAATCCATTGTCCTAGGCAGTCTACAAACACAGAACAAAAGGACTGTCTGTGCCCCAAAGAGCTAACAATCTAAGTAAGATTTGCCAACAAAAGTTGAACTATGATGGCTTTTGTGATATAGATGTCAGTCCACACTGATCTGGACTGAGATCACCAACATATTTACTGCATCTGAAATCAAAATAGCCATTTTGAAAGATAGACAAGCTGATGCCAGCGACCTGGGTTACTGCATATATTTGACTACAAACTGGTGTAAGTGAAGAATATTGTGAAGAAGATCAAGATACATGAATAAGTTAGCACTAGGATAACACTGAAAGATACAAATATTGGCATGTTGCAATTGATGACATTTTAGTCCAATTCTACTTGTTAATTGAAGGAAGACAGAGATCAGAAAATATGGTATGTCACCATGATGATTACATTTCCTTAACTAAACTCCGTTATCATATGTTCCTTTCTGAAGTGTTCTCAGTGAAGGCTACTAGTGCTTGTTTACCTTTACATGGAGAATAGTTATAGGACCATTGTCAGCACTTAAGGTAAACCATTCATGGTACATTAAGGGAGAACCAATTAGAGTAAAACCATCTCCAGTATTATTACACGTACTAATGAGAGAGAGAGAGAACGAACACCAGTAATAATATGAACTGTAAATTTGTACCTTGAACTTCGGAGAAAAGCAATTACAAGACACATCCATTTTTGTCAAGAACCAAAACACACATTTTAACGACATATCATCTACACTGACAACCCGTTTGGATATTTTTTAACCATTCTGTTTGTGGGTAATTAGCCCAGAGTAATTAGACCATCAGCATTCACTTTTCTGCTGTTTCATTTGAACTATGCAGAAGTTGGGAAATTATTTTTCAAATATCTCTTTATATAAACCCTTTCAAAGACTAAATCTAAAAGTCAGGATTTTCCAAAGTGAACAAGTGATTCTTGCTGTCTAACATGACACCTCTTAAAGTAGTCTGAATTTTCAGAAAGTGGTAAGCACGCTCACCATCTGAAAATCAGGCTCTTTCAGGGTATTTGAAGTTCAGCACCCAAAAAACAGAGACACCCAAATCACTAGTCATTTCTGAAAATCTTGGCCCAAAGTGGGCAACCAAAAGTCAAATTCTGCTATCACCGACATGAGCAGAGGATAAAACTTGGCTCCTTAGCTTTAGTAAGTACTTACCTTCCCACTGGCCAGTCAGCACAAGGGTTCTGTTAATTACAATGTCGATCTCTCTGGCACCATCTTCCACTGCTATCCTAATCTCTTCTAATTTGGTTTTCAGTGGAGTTTGTGCAGCTGGAAACCCAGTTGCCACTATGAAGAATGGGAAAAATAAAGTTGTGAAGTAAGCAAAGACTTTTATATAAATATAATTATTAAGGCAGATTGAGGGTATAAAAAGTCAAGGTTTTTTTTTCTTTTTTCCCTGAAAGGAAGTTACTCTACAGCTCCAGTAAAGACTCAAAGACTTGGAAAGCACCTAATTCATCCCCCACCTCATTTACAAGAACATTTGTTCTTCCCTTGAGATCCTTAATCAGTGCTTTGCTCAGTTTTAAATGTCTCCTGCAAATGGATTTCTCCCACTTTCCTTACAACTATTTCCAGTTCAGCCTGGCTAATACATATAAGTCCATTGCCTTCAACAAAGTTCTGCCTGTATACACAAGCTCTGAATTTTGCCTAATGTGTGAAATGATCTTTGATGTATACGTGCTTCAGTTCTCCAAAATTCTTATAAAAGGTATTTGAAAATACATGCAACTAATATGGGTAAGTAATAGTCACAATATAGGTAAAGTTGAATGCAATCATACCCTATTCAGCAGTCATTTGAATTTTTGTACTTAAACAATATAAAGGTAACTTAGAAAGGAAAAAAATTAGCCTTGTTTCACTCCCACCCCTCCACCGCACCCTTCTGATGTATAAAGAGAATCTGGAAAAGTTCTCTTTCCCCCTTGCAAACACAAACATGTTTCTGTGGTGTTTTTTTCAATCCAAAATTCCACATTGTCTCCCTTCTGTGGTGCCCGAAGAACTAGTGAAATGATGACATCACAAAGAATCGAGACAAAGGTATTTTTACAGGGATGGACCCTTGCATCTGCACAGAGCCTTGCTGACTTCAATGGGTGGAGGGATCCACCTGCATGCAACCTAAAAGTTGAGCTATTAAGCAAGGAATGGTTTTCATTTGTTGATGTTAACATCTATTCAGCTTTAATGACTAATTCCACTTGGGAGAAAAAATGTCTGTGTAAAGATTCATTATTCCTATCCCTTCAGTTCAGGTATGAGATCAACATACACACCTCCAAGACCCTCACAGGAGATCCTCCTCCAGCAAAACTTAGACTTGACAACTAAAAACTTGATATTCCAGATACATTTTAGTGAAAAAGGAGGAGGATCCTCCCCACCCCACCCTCCAGCAAAAAAACCAACCAACCAACAAAAAACAACCACCCTTTCAAGTATTCTTTACCCATCTTATAAAAGCAAAAAGGGCACAAGCCCACTGGGAAAAGAATCTTTTAAATAATATTTGTAAAGAAGAGAAACTTACCTGAAGCTACTGGTATGTTACAACCAGCAGCCTTGAGTGCTTTAACAGCATCAGCTACCCTAGCTGGATACACACAGACAGCTGCTGTAGTAATACCTGCAAAAAGTTACAATCCACTGTTTCACCTGTATATTTCCATGTAATGTGCATTGTCTTCTAGTCCACACTATGGCCTTGTGTGCACTAGATTTTTTTTTTTTTTTTTTTTTTAAATCCCGTACTCTTGCACAACCACCGGCTGCTCTCCAATAGCTGTAGCAACCATGAGAGCTTTACTGACAGCGGGGCTCAGGTGGCCACTGGCAGAGCTACCACCATGTCCATTAGCCCTGCCCTGAGAACACTGAGGCTGCATCAGTAGTAGCTCAATTGCAGACACAGTTTAAGGCTGGAGTTCTTTAAACGCCAGTTTCAGACCAGTTTGCTCAGGGATTTATGATGTCAGAAACAATGTTATCAGAGTATTGTACCTAGAGGCCTATAGCACAGTTTGATTAGCATGGAATACCCTTTGTGTTAGCACAGTTTTGCTGTGTTTCTATTTCAAATTTTATTCTCACATTCTAAGCAACTTGGCCTGATATTTAATAGTTTTTTAAAATGTATCAAGGATTAGAAAGAATTCATAAATCAGAGTTTAAAAAAGGATTGGGTCTTTCCTATTTCATGAGTATGGCTAAGAATCCAAGGCCTGATTCATCACTATGTTGTTCTAGTTTTACACCACACACCTCTGTTGAAAACAATGGGGTTATGCCTGTGTAAAAACTTACCATTGCGATTCGTCAATCAGGCTCCAAATGTTTATACAGTATTGATGGATTTGATTTTTGTTTGAATGTGGCTCAAACAAAGCACCAAAATCATGTGGCATTTTAAAACAGCCTCCTGTATCTGACACATCAGTGATATTAATACTTCTGAGAAGTTACGTTGTGCAATGCTGACTATTGTATGAAAAGATGCCATTTTATGGCTATCATTTAATACTAACTCTGTGTGGCCACATTAACGCCTTGACAATTCCATTCCTGTCGGCATTGGGTGTAACATTTAGACTTGTATTGAGGGCCCAGTTCTGCAAAATACTTTGGGAATGCCTATGCCACAGCAGGGAGGTGTGATTCCCAGTGTGGGTAGATAGACTTGTGCTAGCTCTGCTCTAGCTACCGTGCTAAAAATAGTAGCATGGAAATTGCTGCAAGGGTGGTGGCTCAGCTAGCTGCCTAAGCTTGGACCCCAGGGGTCAGGTGGACTTGGACTTGGGCAGCTTGCCTGAGCTGCTGCCCGTGCAGTAATGTCCACACTACTATTTTTAGTGCACTAGCTCTACTCGAGCTAGAGCAAATCTGTCTGCCCACACTGGGAATCATGTCTTCCAGCTGTAGTGGACACACCCTTATGGTCAACTCCTGACCCCTAGTGAAGTCCCCAGTAGTAGATAGAACTAACTGCTATTTTGATCCCTTGCTTAGTTACTGACATAACTGGGTGACAGAGACAATTCTGAGGCGAGATAAAAAAGCCAAATATTTCAACACACAGCACGTGTCTGTATCTAATTGTCTGCACAAAGGCAAAGAGCCAGATCCTGGAGCTACACAAAATAACCTCAACCAGGGTTATGACCCAAAATATTTACAGACACTAAAAAAAAAGCCCAAACGTTTATTGGGGATATCATGTGCATTTTAATGCAAATAAATTTAGTGCCACCTTACCATCCAGTTATTAAAAGAGAGATGTGGGTTTTTTGTATTTCTTTATGGTTTCCATGTCAAATACTGTAGTATATTCTATAACTGCCCATATTACAATCTCAATCTGGGATCTGTAAATCAAGGTGAGGTTTTCCCCCCCACACATCTTACATCATAGCTAGGGATAAAGATTTTGCAATCAGACCTTATATTACCATTTCTTTGAATGAGACTGTCTAGGCAGTTCAGTCTGCCAGGGCTGTTTGGCTGTGCAATACTAGCTCTAACATCAGTAATGTTCAGGCAGTAGAAATCGAAAAAGAAGATGTTGTTGAGTTAATGTTCTGTCCATAACCAGTTTTATAAAACCAAAGCTTGCAAGTAATGTAACCAAAACCATCATACCTTTATCATGCATGTTCATGGCTCTCAAAAGATCCTCTCTGATTGGATGCTTGGCTTTGTAACAAAGCCTGTGAATGTTTGAAGGGGTGTCATCGCCTGAAAGGGTGGTGAGATCTATGCAGGTGACAGCTCTCAGTAGCCAAGCAGCCTTTATTAGGGAAAAAAGTAATATACAAAAAAAATGGATTAAATTTTTTAATGTGGCCCAGGTGATTTAGGAGACTAAGCCCATCTCAAAAGTGAGTCACTTAGGTACCCAAGTTTCATTGACAATCAATGGTGCTTTTGAAAATTTTACCCAATGTCTAAAAATCAGCTACTGTACAATCAAAGGACCAAGTTCCAATTTATGGCACTGGATCAAAGACTGAATAATGAGCAGGAATCCTAGCAGATTATTATACACCAGGATCCTAAACCAATGACGCTTTATCTGGGCAACCCCCTGGAGTAAGGATGCAACAACCTCTAACCAACAGAGTTGTCTACGTGCCCGTAACATGCTAAGTCTGCCTCATGCAGAGCTAGTCTGCATAGAAAGCATACACATTCTTCAGCGGGCACATGAATTATAAGTGCAAGTCACCTGAATGCACACAAGTCAGGAATATGCATGCCACCATTACATATTACAACCCTAATCTGTGCATATGCATCAGGGTGAAATCCTGGTCCCACTGAAGTTAATGGACATTTTGCCAGTTACTTCAATGGAACAAGGATTTCCCCCTAGGTGTCTTGCACATGTTTTAATATTTGGGTCCTAAACTCTAGGTGTCTCGGTTTTCCTGTCTCTAAAATGGGAGCAATAATATTTACATATCTTCCTGCAAAAAAAGTTGAGAAATTGACTAACATTGCTAAAGCATTTCAGTATCCTTGGACAAAAGATGCTACATAACTTTAAAAACTGTTATTTTTAACTGTAATTGGGGTTGTTTTTTTACTTCAGAAAGTTAGCTTTTTACATCAATGAGGTTTTTTTATAACTGGTTTAAATTAAAACAAGAACTGTTGTCCAAAAAGAAGAGAATAACTAACCAGCTGCTAAGAAAGGGATTCTAGTCTCATCCCTTAGGAAATGAGTTGTGAAGTTGTGAAGACAGATGTAGTAAACTGCTTCCAAGAAATGGTGTGAACCTTATTTGTTTTAAAATAGGATTTTGGCTTATATATATATACACACACACACACACACACACTTGGATATGGACTTGAGCAACAAAGTTTGGATGTGGAATATTATGCACATCCAAACTTTCCCAAAGTTCACGGTGTTAAGAGCTAAGGATCACATTCAGGCCCATCTCTGTTAAACAGCACATGGATTTTCTGCTACATCTGTACTTGGGTAGATGAAAACAACCCCTTGGTGTTCTTTAAAGAAAAACTGAATTATTTAGTTCAACAGTAGTGTCACTACACAAATAAAGAGCTGAAGGGTACTGGGGGGCAACAATGCATCTGCCCTGCAGCCACATTAATGGGGACATCAATACCAGAGTAAATCACCACCCTAAGTGATTATATCTATGCAATCCAAGGGGTGGATTCTTCACTCTGTTGCACCTTATGTGAATATGTGGTAATTTACAGCAAATCAGAATGGTCCTCATAGACTTTAAGGCCAGAAGGGACCATCATGATCATCTAGTCTGAGCACCTGCACATTGCAGGCCACAGAATCTCACTCCCGTAATAGATCCGTAACCTCTGGCTGAGTTACTGAAGTCCTCAAATCATGATTTAAAGAGTTCATGTTACAGAGAATTCACCATTTACACTAGTTCAAACATGCAAGTGACCCATGCCTCATGCTGCAGAAGACAACAAAAAATCCCATGGTCTCTGCCAATCTGACCTGGGGGAAAATTCCTTTCTGACCCCAAATATGGCGAACAGTTAGATCCTGAGCATGTGGTCAAGACGCACCAGCCAGACACCTAGGAAAGAATTCTCTGTAGTAACTCAAAATCCTCCCCATCTAGTGTCCCATCACCAGCCGTCGGAGATAGTTGCAGATCAGCTACATGCTATTGTAGGCAGTCTCCTCGTACCATCCCCTCCATAAATTTATCAAGCTCAGTCTTGAACCCAGCTGGGTATTTTTTTGTCTCCACTGCTCCCCTTGGAAGGCTGTTCCAGAACTTCACTCCTCTGATAGTTAGAAACCTTACTCTAATTTCAAGCCTAAACTTGCTGATGGCCAGCTTATATCCATTTATTCTTCTGACAACTTTGGTGCTTAATTAAATAACTCCTCTCCCTCCCTGGTATTTATCCCTCTCATGTGTTTATAGAGAGCAATCATATTTCCCCTCAGCCTTCTTTTGGTTAGGCTAAATAAGCCACGCTCTTTAAGCCTCCTCTCATAAGGTAGGTTTTCCATTCTCGGATCATCCTAGTAACCCTTCTCTGCACCTGTTGCAGTCTGAATTCATCTTTCTGAAAGACGGGAGACTGGAATTGCAAAGAGTATTCAGATGAGGTCTCACTAATGCTTTGTATAATGGTACTAACAGTTCTCTATCTCTACTGGAAATATTTCTCCTGATGCATCCTAAGTCTGCATTAGCTTTTTTTTTCACAGCTGCATCACATTGGCGGCTCATAGTCATCCTGTGGTCAACCAATACACCCAGATCTTTCTCCTCCTCGGTCTCTTCCAACTGACGTGACCCCATTTCATAGCAAAAATTCTTGTTACTCAATCCTTAAGTGCATGACCTGGCAAGTTGTTCTATTAAAATTTCATCCCATTTCTATTGTGACATTGTACCCCATATTCTTCACAGTTGTATAATTATGATGCATCTTGGACAAGATGGGTCATGTAAGGTGTGACTGGAAAAGTTATGATTTTCTGAATGATTATCTTATTTGTATGTATGTATGTATCATTTTTGTATCTGAAGTTATGAATATTAACTATTGTGACGGGGCAAGGCCAGATGGCTATAGAAAAGTAGTGGGAGATAGATATATTAGCTCCAGGCTAAACAAATCCCTGGTACCAGGATAAGTGAAATGGCAGCTGCTCCAGGTCAATTAAGACACCTGGGGCCAATTAAGAACTTTCCGGAAGGCAGGGAGAATGCTAGGTTGATTGGGACACCTGAAGCCAATCAGGGGCTGGCTGAAACTAGTTAAAAGCCTCCCAGTCAGTCAGGTGAGTGTGCATGTCAGGAGCTGTGGGAGGAAGTTGTGCTGTTGGAGAGACTGAGTAATACACACCATATCAGGCACAAGGAAGGAGGCCCTGAGGTAAGGGTGAAGTGGAGCTTGAGGAAGTGAGGGCTGCTGTGGGGGTAGTAGCCCAGGGAATTGTACATGTCATGTTTCTAAAAGGTCAGCTACCATAGTTGATACTATTAGGGTCCCTGGACTGGACTGGAGCCTGGAGTAGAGGGTGGGCCTGGGCTTCCCCCCCACCTTTGCCCCGATTAATCACTGAGACTGGGAGACAACAGAGACTGTGCAAGGAAGGATAACTTCTCCTCACCTCCCCCGCTGGCTTATGATGAAAATGGCTCAGTAGACTGTGACCCTTGTCTCTAGAGAGAGAAGAGTTATGTGGAGGGTCACAGTGAGCCTTTGAGGCTAGCGAAATCTGCCAAGAAACGTGGGACCCACGGAGGCAAGGACAGAGCTTTGTCACACTATGTATCTGAATTTCACATGTAGTCACATCTAGGTGACCCCCACTAGGCAAAATGCTTCCAAGTCTAGATAGCCGACTGTGAAGGGCCTAGTCAAGGTAATGGGCATTAGGAAAAACAACAGGCCTTAGGGGATGCTTATCCCCCACTTGGTGAGCCTTCCTGAGAATGCTCCAGACAGCTTGTAAGTAATGGCTGCTATGACTCAGCAAGGTATGCAAGGGCATGTGACCAGGCCACATGACACAGAACTCCATCTTGGATACCAGTGTTTTTCCACAAACTGAGTTTGGTACAAAGGGTTCCTGCCATATGCTAAAGCTATATAAGTCAGTGAGTGACATCATTTGTTGTTCTTCACTCCCACACAACTGAACATCTAAGAGAAGCTCCTAAGGAAAAGGACTTGGAACGGAGGTAGGGATCCCAAGCTGCAAAACAAATGCAGCTTGTCCCTTAAGAATCTGCAAGCTTGCTTGTATCATCAGCCAGGGTTAGAAACTGCTAATTCACATCTAATTGGTCTAGTATGTTAAGCTTAGTTTGCGGTTTTGTTTATTTGCTAGGTAATCTGCTTTGATCTGTTTGCCATCCCTTATAATTAATTAAAATCTATCTTTTTGTAGTTAACATAAAATAAGTTTGTTTTAATCTAAACCAGTAAGTTTGGTGTGAAGTGCTTGGGAATCTTAGCTCAAGGGGCAGGAGCTGTTGCATTTCCTCTCTACATTGAGGGAGAGGCAAACTCTATGACCTTACACTGTACAGTTCCCTGTGCACTGCAAGATGGCATAATTTTGGGTTTATACTCCAGTGCGGGGATGTGTGCCTGCGGAGCTGGAGGTTATCTTGGCTGTAGTATCTCTATTGTTGATTCATGCAGTGGCTGGACAGAGAGCCTGCATGTAACTGCAGCTGGGTGTGTCCCTGCCTGTGTGAATGCTGGTGGAAGTGTAGGACCAGGAGCGGTCTGCAGCTTGTCACAGCAGCACAGTGTAAGAGGGAGCCCAGGCTGGTGAGTCAGAGGGCGAAGTGGTATCCCACTTCCAGGTGGCACCCTGGAGGGAACCCATCACATCTGTTACTCCAGTTTTCAAAGTCATCCAGATCTTCTTATATGATATTCCAGTCCTCCTCCAGATTGGCAGTACCTCCCAACTTTGTGTCCTCTGCAAATTTTATTAGCGCACTCCCCCTTTTTGTGCCAAGATCATTAGTAAAAATGTTAAATAAGATTGGTCCCAATACTGATATCTGAGGAACTCCACTAATAACCTCCCTCCAGCCTGACTGATCACAGTTCAATATGACCTGTTGCAGTCTCCCCTTTAACAAGTTCCTTATCTATCTTTCGATTTTCATATTCATCCCTATCTTCTCCAATTTAACTAATTTCCCATATGGAACTGTATCAAATGCCTTACTGAAATCCAGGTAAACTGGATCTACTGCATTTCCTTTGTCTGAAAAAATCAGTTATCTTCTCAAA